TATTCCTTGAGTATTTTGGTTTGAGACTACTTGTTCTTCATCACTGTCATTTTGAGCTTAGATTTTGTTTCGTTTCCCACTCCATTAGTTACCATCACCTTCACTATAAATATAATTTCATACGAGTATGATGCAAAGTCTAGGCACTGATTTCTTCATATATATTCTTTTCTTTTATTGAAATAAAGGATTTGAGCTGATGTTTTTAATTATATATATCAATAGCAGCATTTGCTTGGTGTCTAGGCTTATCCTTTAATCTTGTTGTATTTTCTCTGCCGAACCTCCTATATACGATATTTGCTGTGTATTGACATTGTTAATAATTTTTCAGTCTTTGATGAGTATTGTTTGTTAATGAAAGCTTATTGTATATGTTGCAGGGTTCTACTGAGGTTGAATCTTGGTATGGCCTTGTTTCTTTTATTAAACCATTAAAAGCCACGGGCTGTTGATTAATGGTGCAAGTAATTATGATTTCACTATTGTTTCCTTTTCAGGTTTTGCTAGGAGTGAAGGAACTATACATGCTAATAAATTCAGCTGTATTTTCAAGCTAAAACAAGAGCTTTTACTTGAGTTAAGTTGGATACAAGTTTCATCACCAGTTCAGGCAAACTGATTGATTGCTTCTTGTTTAAATTTAATCCAATTTCTTCGATATGTAACGGGAAGCTGTTTCTTGGCAGAAAAAAATTGAAGCATCTTTCTCACTGACAGATTGTGGGAAATTTTATTTCAACAGTGTATTTGCTTTAAGTAAATGGTGCAGTTGGAATGCATAAATATGTTGACAATGTTGAATATAATTTGAATTCAATTAATGAGATGTAAAGGATACATAATTTGTCCTTGGTTGCTAAAGATGAAAATAGGTTGTACTTGTATTTGGCAATAGCAATTGAAGACTATACTCCGTAAGCCTCAGCAGCTTATCTATAACATTTGGCCCATTGGTCTGCAATTTTTCTATTCTTTTTTTTCCCCCAAGTATTAAAACACATACATTTCCTCTATATTTGTAACTCATTGTAATCGTGGTCTATTTATGGATAACAGTCCATTTCCTTTATGCTTGACAATTACAGATAACAAATCCTACAACCATTATTCTTTATTGGTTTTATCCTTTCTTTGTAACTTTGGTCATTTTACATTCACATGCTGTTTATGGTTAAGTATAATGGATAAAGGAAAAGAAAAATACAAATGGATAATGTAGTTGACATTGCAAAGCCTGTGAAATACTAGCATTTTCTTAAGGAATAAACTAACCTAGGAGAGGAGAGAAGATGACTTATATAGTGCAGTGAAAATCCACACAACAATTGCCCATTTCTGCAATTGAACCGGACGTTTCCATGATAAGATTGTTTGACAAATTGGAAAAAGAACATCTAGATGATCTGATCTCTCCCATTTGGGTTCTTGACCTATTATCTGTTTTGCTACCTGAATGTTATAACATATGGTTGCGTATCCATTTCGTATTTTGTTTTGTAATCTAAGAAATTATGTCCTTTACCACCATTTATTCCAATCTATCAAGGTTCAGATTATATATAGTATCATGTCTCCTGTATATAATAAGCTTCTTTTTCTTTTCTCTCATTCCTTTTCCATCTTTTTTTTTTTTCTTAGATTCATGCTTTGCTTTGGCATACGCTTGGATGGCTGGTTTTGTAGCCATATTATTTTTGAACTCTCTTCTTACTGCACTAGATTAGGATTTGGGACACGTTCTCCAAAGCCTAAAATAGGATGCAAACCATAGATTATTAACTTCTCATCTTATATATCCATATATCTTCGTTATCTCATCATATTCCAGGACATTTGGCATATAAAGACTGGATGTAATTAAACATCATAAGTTAGGTTTAAGAGAGAGAGAGCGAGAGGATTATCAATTGTATATGATTAAGAGACTCTTCTGGAACACACTACAAGAAGTTAAAGAAACTAACAGCACTAGGGCTTGATATTTCCAAATAAGTTTGATCCAATCCCAACATGAACTAGAAAAACAAATGGAAGGACGCATCACTCTTACGCCGATGAGAAACTTCCAAACAAACAAAAATTCCTCTTCAAAACATTCCCCAAGTGATGTTAGGGTATTAGGACCCCTTTCTAAATGCTCCTCCAAAGTACCCACCAAAGAAAGGCATGCAGACAGCATAATTCATGCAAAGAAAAACACAAAGAAGACTGATTAATTGTTCACTTTCTTAGTGTAGGGTTAAATCATGAGTTGAGGGGATCCATTAATTTTTTTTTTCTTTCAGGCTTAGATCTCATTGCCCTTTGAGTGGATAGTACTGGGTGAGGTGGGGGAGCCCCTTGGTAATCTTACTGGCTGTGTTGAGTGAGCTTTTTCACTCGTGTGCATTTCATTGCTATTAATAATGGGGGGGGGGGGGGGGGTTGATGATTATTATGATTAATGAAGAAAAAGAAGGATAGTTGTCGGAAGTATATATCTGATCAGCTTAATTATAATTAAAGAAAGAATTAAAGAGGATGGTAGCGACAGTCTAGGTTTCGTGAGCATTTTGTTTTGTGAGAAACATTGAATATCAAAGTGTTTGTGGAATGTGTTATTGGGATTTCTGTTTGATGTCTTTCTATTTTGTTTCTGTCGGTGTACTAATCGCATAGTATTATGATTATAACAAAACCCCAAAGCTGCATCGTGTACATAATCTCAAGTTGTCCTTTGCACTTTTTACATGAACAAACTCATTGGGGTATTTCAAATGAATAAAATTTAGTTGTAATAATATTAATAAATTTAAACAATTAAGAATTATTTAAAGAATTTATACATTTGCTAGAACTAGAACTAGAATTTCAATTTTATCTCATTTCTCAAACGATCATGAACAATAGGGCACTATTTTATTGAAAGTCTTCACCCGACCACTACCAAAGTTCCTAGAACGAAGAGTCCTAATAAGGGAAGAGGTTTGGAAGAGGTTTGCTAGAGATAGTAAGTTTTAGCTTTCATGTCCCTTTAGACCAGTACTTGCCTATTACATGGACTCATAGGAGTAAAACATAGGAGATCGAAGCTAGGGAGGGTTGATTGCAAAAAGATCACATGGGCATATAGGCACTAAGCCTAGTGAAAAAGGACAGAAGCCCCAGCCCCCATGCCTTTCGGATCGAGTTTTCTGGTTTGCCATGACTTGCCTAATAGTATCATGGTTTTGCAACTGCTGTTTCCATGAAAGTTTCCAGCAGGTAAAACTGACATAAAGGGGTGAGTGATATTTTCTTTTCTTTTTCTTGAGATAATAAAGAGATGATCAAGAGTGATCTAAACGAGTATTTTCTACTTCAATTTGTCATTTTAAACTCTTTTTCAAAACACTTATCAGTTCACTATCACTGGGAAATGTGCATTTTATATGAAACAAGTTTAAATCAACCAAAATTAAGTCCTGAGCTCAGGATCGAGTTGGATTCTGCATCAACTTCTCTAATATTTTTGGGTGGATGATTGTGGTGATGGCATATTTGAAGAATATGTTCTCTTCAATATAAGATCTCAAGGCACGTCGCCTCTACATTGTTATCCATATAATTATTTCTAGATTGGCAGCAAGCCAAGCATTACTTTAGTGGGGTTTCACTTTAGGATGGACCATGCCCAAACGAAAAAACAAAAAAAATAGACCATGAATATACAATACAATAATTAACTTTAAAAAATGTTCAGTGTGGAGAGACAACGAGTTGTTTCCTTATAAAAAAAATGTCTCAAACTAACAAATGAGAAAAACCCTTTTAGTTTAATCCCATGCCCTCCACCTTTCGATTTGTTATTTGTTGATGGCTGCGGTTGCCATGCACCATACGGCTTACACGTTACGCCTCATACCCCAAGAAATCTAGACCACTCCTTAAGGTGAACCGCATGCATCTTCCATGATCACTAATTAATAACCTTTACATTGGTTCAATAAATTAATCCAAACTATTAGATTCTAAGATATTTGTTTTCTTGTCTTGCCGACTGTACGGTATGTTTACGTCCATGAGTTTGGTAAGTTTATTGGACTCGGACAATAGAATTAAGCTCGATTCATGTACAAGATATTAAATTAGTTAGGTTATTAATTGAACCGGAGTTGGCCAACAACATATAGGAGCTTAGGCGTGCACAATGCCGTGAGGCTGAGGTTCTCCGAAAAACTTACATAAAATTTTATAAGTAAAATTTATGAAGTTTTTTATTAAAAATAAATAAATTAAAATCAAAATTGATAGGTTGAGAATTTTCATCATATTGATCAAACATGTAAAATTTAAAAAAAATTTAATAAATTTTGATATATTTATTAAATAGATATTTTTAATAAAAATATTGATAAAATTTTTATCTTTAAATAAGTATCAATCAAATTTGAATTATAAATAATATTTATAATAATTTTTTATATACTATTAATTTTTACATTAAAATTTACTAATTTATAGATTTACATTTTTTATCAAAATTTTTATTTATTTATTTATAATAAAAAATTTTACAAACTTCATCTATACAATTTTATGTAAATTTTATGCCTCCAAATGTGCATCAGCTTAATTAAGTTGAAGAATGGCAAAAGACAAAGGATAAAAAACACGTCTCCTAACTATTATTAATAACCTTTTGTCTTAGTATTATTATTTTTTATGAAGGCCTAGGTTGATGGTGATGGTGGTGATGTTGACGTTGATGATGGAGAACATCCCACAATTTCCCATCCTCCCCTTGTCCACTTCCTTATAAATCATGATCAGCATGAATTTCCAAGCAAACTCTTCTGGTGCGAGTTCGGGGTTAGCTACTATATCAATCAAACAATATACTTTGTTACATGTTTATACTCTCTTTTCCTGGCGCCTTTTCTTTTCTCCCACTCGTCTTGAGCTATCTTTTTCTCACTTTACATATATGAAACACTACCCTTTGGCGTTTACGGTGGGAGTTTATTGAAATTATTAGAATGGGATATGGGGAGCTTATTATACGAAACTATGACGCTCAAAACGATAGAGTTAGAGTGGAAGATCTCGAGAGAAGATGTGAAGTAGGCCCAGCTGAGAGAGCGTTTCTCTTCACAGACACCTTGGGTGACCCCATCTGCAGAATCAGAAACAGTCCGATTTATAAGATGCTGGTACCACTATTTTCATTTCTCTTCTCTCTAGTTATTCTTTCCTTTCTTTTCCTTTCCTTTACTTTCCTTTTAATTTAATTTATTTTATATATAACATCGGGCCATTTATTTATCTTATTGATGTTTCATTGAGAAATTAAACTGATCATTTTTTTTTATGTTAGGTAGCCGAGCTGGACAGCCAGTTGGTTGGTGTCATCCAGGGCTCCATAAAGCTTGTAGCAATTCATAAACCTCCCAAGGATCTAGCCAGGGTTGGCTATATCTTGGGCTTAAGGGTTGCACCTCTTCATCGGCGACGAGGGATTGGCTCGAGACTGGTGATCAAAATGGAGGAATGGTTCATTGCAAGTGATGTTGATTATGCATACATGGCCACAGAGAAAGATAATGAGGCGTCCTTCAAGCTCTTTGTAGACAAGCTCAGTTACGTCAAGTTCCGGACGCCAGCCATTCTCGTAAACCCTGTTAGCCATCGGATGTCCCAGATATCATCGAACTTTGAATTAGCAAAGCTCAAGATTGAAGAAGCTGAATCTCTCTACCGTAAATTCATGTCTTCATTAGAGTTCTTCCCAAATGATATAGGCAGTATACTGAGAAACAAGTTAAGCTTGGGGACTTGGGTGGCTTATCCGAGAGGTCAATCATGGGGTTATTCAGAATCAAATGAGGGAGTTCCTAGTAGTTGGGCAATGCTTAGTGTATGGAATAGTGGGGAGCTTTTCAAGTTGAGGTTAGGGAATGCACCCTTATCTTGTTTGATGTACACGAAGAGCTCAAAATTGATCAAAAAGCTTTTTCCATGCTTTAAATTGCCAGCCATACCAGATTTTTTCCATCCATTCGGATTCTATTTCATATATGGAGTGCATCATGAAGGTCCATTGTCTGGCAATTTGGTACGGATCCTGTGCCGATTCGTGCATAACTTGGCTTCAAAGTCTAAGGATTGTAAGGTTATTGTTACAGAAGTTGGAGGTAGCGACACATTGAGACTTCACATCCCGCATTGGAAATTACTGTCCTGTTCAGAAGATTTATGGTGCATAAAGGCCTTGAAAAATGAAGAGAGGAACAGCCTCCTTGAGTTGACGAAAACCCCACCGACAAGAGCTCTTTTTGTAGACCCAAGAGATGTATGAACAAAGAAATATTCCAGACCCTTTTAGTCTGGCCTGAGCTAAACCCCACCTCATGTATTCTTTGACAAGTTCAATCCATCTCTCCTGGCGGGGGCTTTTCTCTTGTTCCTTTCACATCCGTGACACAAAATCTCAAAGATTTCCCTAATTGGGTGCGATCCTCGATGTCATTGCTTGTAACTCATTTTTGCACCTCATGATTCCGACTAATCAAACAACTCTATGGTCCAATCTTTGTCCCTTCCGCCTTAGGTAAATATTTTATCTGGACCCTCCTTCCCTTTGTCGCGTCGTACTGTTTCCCTCCCTAACATGCCATTTTTAAAGATTGAGAGGATTCCCATTATCATGGAAGAAAAATCTATAAACTACATATCAAAGCTGGCCTGTGGCCTCTCTACGAAAATTAGGCCTCTTGATGTTTTAAGCAAAACACTTCCTACTCAAAGATTCCGGCACATTTATTTCTTTGTTATATTGACGCATTTTCGAGTGTGGAAGATGTCAATCTCACTATCTTTAATATGGCATCCTCCATTTTGAGTAACCCTAGCTTATGCAGAAGGAACAAAGTTGGGTTTTAGGTCACTTGTCAAGCAGATGATAACTGTCATGATTCCGATGATGATTTGGTCCTTATTGGGTAAAAGAAAAGATGGAAAGGTTTTGCATTGGCTGATCATTGAACTGACATCATACAGCAAAAGACTCCGACTAGTTTTGCAAAGAGCCTATTTCTACTCTCTAAAAAAACCTTGTTGAGTACTGGAGCCTACATGTATAATGCCATGTAATATATAAAAAGAATTACGTCCATCTACTATAATTTTATACTACATAAGTTATGTACAGACTTTAATGATGTGCAGTTACAATAATATTTTTGTGAACCAGCACCCAATCATCTTGTGTTACATCAAATATATCTGCATTTCTAAAGGCTAAGCTTGAAAGGGTTGGTTTAAAATTAATTAATTTCTAATATATGATCGCAATGATGATCATATTATAGAAAATTGACATTCAAGGTGAGTTTTTCATGGAAAACAGTCCAATGAAAGCTTTGATTGAAGGTGCTTAGCATTTGATGAAGAGAAATTGAATTGTCTTGATAATTAGATTATATTGGTATATACTGTGATCGCTCTCACAATTCGATTTGTTCAGAAGTTTCTGAACCCATCGAAGTTTAATGACAATACTGAGTAAGAAAGAAAAAAATTATTAATTAAATAGTTTCCACGTACAGGAAGCGAGCAGAGACGAGATCGTTTGAATAATTTCCTTGCACTATTGCTATGCGTGATGCTTCAAAACAGTGAAACGCGAGGGACCAGGCACTTTTTTGTTTTCTCTTCTTTTGCCGATGTTTCCTCAAGTTGTCTCATCATTTGGTTCACCAAATGGAGTCGTGCATGAATAAACCCCTGCTTTTCTAAGTAAAAGTTGTGCAATTATTAGCAGAAGAAAGTTTGCTTTGGAATTGCCCATGCAATCCGCTTTGTCTGATCTCCTGAGTTTCCTGCTTTCCACCGAGGGGAAAGTGATAGGGGTTGGCCTAGGCCTCCATTTTGTTGGTCAGGGGCCCAGATATGTTTTTGTTTTTATGCAAGTTCTGATTGGAGCAAGCATTGGGCTTTTGTGATTGGAGAAGATCAATGATCATGGGGGTGACCCAGTACTCTGGATTTGTCACTATCTGGGCCAGCCTTTTATCCTCCATAAGTTGATTGGTTGTTACTTCTTAGTGGGTTCACTTTCAATCACTGTAGGGATTGTGTGTGTTTCTGCTTGTTTTTGTTTTGTTCTGTTCTGTGCCTTTGTATTGTTTCTTTTTAATTTGTATCTCCTTGAGTAAGAATATTATTAGTAGGTTTTGATAATTTTTGCTTTCATGTTATAATTATTATATGTTAATACGTATAAAATAATTATTTTATGTATCATAAATTTTTATCGATATATCAAATATAAATATTTTTTACTTTAACCAAATTTATAAAAATTATGAAAATTTTAAAGCATATATTTTTTATCTAATAATCATATCATGTCTATAATTGTAGGTCTACTTAAGACAAACACGACAGGAGTCCTGTCTAAAATTTAGTGGCTTTCAATATTTGGGTCATCTCTTTCTTATCTGCATCCTTATCTTTGGGCCACGGGACATCAATTCAGACCCATAAAAGTTCGATTGAACCAAAAATCATGTGAAACATTGCATTGGTAAAGAGATACATCATTATATGGCATGTCATAGCGCAAAAAGCCTATGTCTCCGGTTACCAAATGGCTGTGTCCCTGTGTTGATGATGAACATGCAAAAAGCCTACATCTCCGCTCAGACAGCTTCTACTTTTTAAGACGACAAAGAGTCAAAGAGAACTGAACAACAATCTAGTTGAAGATTGCATGTACGCTAAATTACTCATTCTTACTTAACTCGAATCTATTATTCTTGTTTGATTGCCGTCACCCAACCGCCTAAGAAAATTCCAAATGGCTCGCTGACCCGAATTTAAAGGCCAGACAGCCCATTGAAAAACCCCAAAGGAACAGAAAACAAGAATAAGCCATATCTAGGCCCATGTTTTTCAATTAGCCCAAACTGATGTACATGTAACGAAAATTTTCTTTTAAATTTGGTCATGGAGTATTTTTTTTTATCTATTTGTTTAGTTAAAATTTTTGTTTTTTTACATATAATCCGTGAAATTTTTAAATTTCCCAACTGATACTAAAATTTTGATATGTTTATTTTTTATTTTTTAATATATTTTAAAAGAATATGTAATTGTATAGTTTCTTTGGAGATGGTTTTAAAATTCTGAAGTGGGAGTTTCATTTGAAATTATATATAAAAAAATTAGTGTAAATAATTACTTTTTTTTTTCCTGTTTGCGAGTTCCAAAGAATTTAAGAAACTTGTGAGTTCCATACTCCACGTCCTGGAAATTCTTTTTTTTTTTTACGTACAGAAACAGCATCATCAATTGAATAAAGCTAATCAATGATCAACCCAATTCCTGGCCTGGGTTCTGTATATAGCTTTGCCCTGGGGTAGGCCACTGGGCTGCAAAATTGCTAGACATTTTATTTATGACATATATAATACAGGTAACAAACAGGAAGGGGAAGCACATGATTTCTCTTTCCATTTTGAGGTTAAAATTGAGTCTTATCTGATCACACTGTTGGTAATAACTCTAGGAGTGTGACAATTAATACAAGTAGTCCTTCATCTGGAACTGAATCCAAGCTAAATTTAGTCTGCTAACCCAACCCTTTAACGGGAATATCACATAAATTGTTTGATGGAAGTTGTTGTGTGCAAGCAGAAATGGCAACAAATGCTGACAGCAACCAACCATGAAACAAAGTCGCTTGTGATTAACTACAGCACGGGCATTTCATACACTATTCCAATCTCAACCCCCAAACCACCCATCCCAACACCGAGGAAATCGAATCCGCCAAATTAGTTGTCTATAATACTATGGCCTCACCAGGAGGCTCCAAAATCTGAACCACACCAGCTTCCACTTACACAGCGGAGCCCTTTTTCTCTTACTAATCTTTTCTCCCTAGTTATTTTGATCACCACCTTATTCCTCTATGCTCAATGGATTTGTGGCCAACATCTCCTCTCAACTGTTGCTGCGCGGAATGCAATTCCAGCTGCTTCTCCTGGGCTTAAGCCTGATACCTAATAGTTTGCCAATCATTTTGCACAGCTCTGTGGTCACAAACAGTGAAGGAAAACATGGTTTTATTGAAGAAATTGAATGTTCTATCTGTCTGGGCGTTTTTGAAGATGAAGAGAAGCTAAAGGTCTTGCCAGAAAGAATGTAACCATGCATATCATACCGAGTGTGTTGACAAGTGGCTCAGTTCTCAGTCAAGCTGCCCTCTTTGTACAGCTTCTTCGAGCCCAATCACTACTCCATTAGCTCGATATCACATCTAATCGTTGCATATATTACCAAAGAAATTGTTTTCGAAAGTATCATCTAGAATGTTATTATAAGACTAAGAGTACCATCTTGCACAGGACCACAGTTTTCATGTCTTTTTGACAAGTTGCTGTACCAAACTCAGTACGATGAACAAGGTTTACTCCAATAATTAGATTTAAGTAAACTTGCCTTCTCTTTTTCTGCGGCAGTCCATGGAAGATTTACTGCGCTGTATCATCTTGTGTATCTGCTGAAGAGTCGTTAGATATTTGGAGAAAAAACTTAAAAAGGGCTTAACTTAGCCGAGATTATTCTTATAGAGATCGAGGGATTAACCTCAAGCTTTAATTTGAAATTTCTCTTCTGTAATAAAAGTAACTGATAGATGATGTGACATGGCTGTTCATCCTCAGCAACTGCACTTCTTGATGATTGAAGACGCCTATTATTGTGAGAACGAACTAAAAATCCAAGCAGTTAATGCTTTCCTTTAACACGTAATATTGAGCCAGATAACCCACTAGATTTAAAGTTTTTAACTCTTCTGTTTGCCCTATTTGAACAAAAAAAAAAGGAACAGAAAAACAAAAATTTAACTGTGATGATGCTGATGTTTGTCTTTCAGTGACAGTGGGCGCTGTAATGAAACACTATGGTCTGCTGCAGGCATGACATATATTTTTGCCCTGGGATTTTTAAATAAGCTTGAAATCATTTCATGACATGTTGGCATTAGCCGCTGGCATAAGAAATCCCACTACAAAAAAAAATTTCCAGGAAGAATTCATTATGTTCGACTTTCAAGCATCCCTGAAGTCGAGATAGCAGCAAAGGACAATGAAGTGAATTCAATGGGCCTGGGCCTGAACCTGATCCTAGCAAGTATTTCTAATAAATATGTGTAGCAGTAGTTTGACCGTTTCTCTTCATCACATCACATGATTGATTGATTGACAAGGCGCAACAAAATTGACCAGAAAACAAGGAAGAAGGATGTACGAAGACTTTTGTCCTCAACTCAACATTAGAATGTCCCCAATGGCATTCAGACAATCATAGACATTTGCGACCCACATTTTGGACATGAATTATACCAGTTTGTAAACAACCAAAATACGAGTATGATGCAGGTATTCGTCCTTTGTACCTAATGGATGTTTTAATATTATACTTATTTTCATTTTCATTATCAAAATTTAATATCCATATCATCTTCATTAAGAAAAAAATCAATTTTTTCTTCGAACTGGAGTAAAATTAACATTCTTAACTCCATCTCAATCTTTTTTAGAGTTTTTTAACTATAAAATTATTAATTTATAGCTAATAGTGAAAAATGAGAGGTTTAAAGAAGAAGACTGTAAGTATTATTCTTCTATATAGCAAAAACAAAACTATCCAAACTGTTTTCTTGGTAAACTTACCGAGTCAGATCGTCCAGTCAAGTGGCCAGTGTTATTTGTGAATGGAAAGGTTGTAATCAATGAAATGAACAAAATGATATAGTTTTAATCACCTGGACCAATACGGAGAAAGATGATAACAAGTTTCCAAGAAATCTATACAAAACTGTCCACAGAGTGCTGGAGTTTATGAACATTAACAGGTAAAGCTCACTCTTTGTCTTTCTCAAACTTCAAGCTCACTGGAGTTGGATGTGGGAAAAACTTTGCGCTCTGATCTGTTCCTGCTCAACATTCTCTTCAAAGAGCAACCAAGGGAAGATGATAGAGTCGAGGAAGAAAAGGATGCTGAAAGAGGATTATCATTGGCAGCCGCAATTTGATTATTACCAGAATCGGATAAATCAGTTAGATTGTCCAATCTAGAGTTCCCATCAGTCACTCCCACCTCAACATTCAATAATGCTCCCACTCTCTCCAAAGAACTCACTTGAGAATCTGCTGAAGTAACAACTGAAACCTTATCATTACTCAACAAAGGAGTTCTGCAAATGGGGCAATTTGAGTGAGACTGCAGCCACATGTCGATGCAATCCACATGAAAACCATGCCCACACTTGGGTAAATTCCTCCCGATATCATTGTCCTCAAATGGGCTTAAACAAATAACACACTCTAAACCATGCTTGTATTCTTCCATTTTGTAAACAAACAATGGAATAGATGAAACGACAGAGGGATCGAGTCCCTTTGATGGGGAGCTCGGAAAGGTGGTGTCGAATGTGAATGTATGGAAATGGCGGAATCGATCAGGGCGGAAGACGTGAGATACAGACATGGAATTAGATCGACCTCGTTGGCGAGCTTGAGCCAAGAACCATTTGGCATAGACATGGAGTAGCAGCACAAAAAGGATAACAAGAAGCAAAGATATGACGGCGGCTAGCATTACATTGCCATCATAGGAGGAAATGCTGTTGAGGAAACGAGGAAATGGGTTAGTGGTCTGTTCTGGAGAGTCAAGCGAAACAGACATGTTCAGGATGAGAGCAACTGTGCAAGTTGAATTTTTTGTAGTAAAGGTAAGAGATGTGAATTTGATAGAGATGGAAGGTTTTTAGTGCGATGGAAGTGGGGTTATATGGTCATTAATGGCTGAAAAAGAAGAATAAGAAATCAAACGAATCTTCTATATATTAGAAATATTTACGTGAAAGTCAAGTTGCTTGTTGGGGGATTAAATTATGGGAATTCTGCCCTTAAACATTTGCCTGTGATAGTCAGCAACAACAGCTCTCTCTCTCTCTCTCTCTCTCTCTCCTTTGTAAAGTAATGTATGATAATCTTCACATAATGTAGTCTAGTTTAGTTAAGTCAAAAGAGAATCCCATAATCCAAGGAGCCAATGAGACTTGTGCATGGAAGAGAAAAAGGTTGAAACGAAGGACTCGTGAAGGCTACGGCAGCTGAGAAATGGGTTATCGGATGCATGTGATTGTTTTAGGGATCCCAATGCCTAAGATCTTTTTGTCCTTTAATTTAATCATCTCTTATTAAGCTTATTGATTTAATGATTAAAAATACTTAAAATATATATATAATGAAAATTCGAATCCCAACGTCCTCTATTCCTATTCAATTGATAAAAAAATTGAATCACCCCTATTCAATTCCCCCTCTTATGTGTCTTTTATGCTACATGATTGGAGGGTCAATCAAAGTGGGGTCACCCAACACAATTGAGGGAGAGGGGTCAATTCTATTTGGTTCAGGGCTCCCATGTGAATCCAACCTGACAGAGCTTGCTTTTTGACTACATAACCTCCAGTTCACTGATAGAAACGATGACTTGCTCAACTCCCACCTTTTTTTGCAGCATGCTTTGAGCAAGTAATCAAACTCTTGTGCGACTAGGCTCGTGACTTCTTGACCCAATCCCGCGGCAATGTACCATTCCTGCGAGGCTTTAACAGAAGGTATTCCCTGTTTTAGTCAGGGCATCGATCAATCATATTTTAATGTTAGGATCGATCAAACATATTTTATTGTTAGGATAATCTTCATATAAAAAATTAATTTGTAGACATAGAACCCAATCAATTCACTACCATTTTATGAAACAAGCCATTGTGGCCACTATGAGTTGAAGTTAAGACCATGTTACACAGAATACCAGGAGCTGAACTTGCATATTTTATTTTGACAAAGAATCGAAATAAAATGAATGAAAACTTCATCTTAATATTTGGACAATCTAATATCAAGAAAAGCAAATTTCTTGGAGCAGTGTTCAATCCATGAGCTTATATCTTTTCTCCTGAACACCTGTTACTCCCATTTGTATTTCTATGATAGTGTGAAGCGGCACCTGCAAATTGGAACGTACATTGTTAGAGTTCAATTTTAGAACAAAAGTTATTAACTCAGACCACAAAATTCTAATAATTCATCTTACCCTTTTTTAGCTTTTCCATTTGAGTACGGAAACATCAAGTATAGCCTAAAGTCGTCTTGCTAAACAACTGATTAAAAGGTCACCCCTCACCGATACCAACCATGGGCAGAGGGGCCAAGACATGATTCTATAAAACTTGAATATAAAATTTTCTTTTTCCATTTAGTAGATCAGAGATGAGGTTCTATCTGTGCATCGTAAAAGAAGAAACACGGGAGCATCATTCTTTCCACCATTTCAAAGAACAAGCCTCTCATGTGCAGAAAGCACAGAAAGAGAACCAATAGATCACGTTCACCCACAAGAACAAATATGTAAAGACACGCCAATTTCAACTTGTCTGTTAATTACCTCAATGTGAGGAATTTCTTTGAGGGGCCTATCAGCAAAATAAGCATATAATGCTCTCAACACTGCCTGCAAAATGAATCCGATAACAAATAATTCAAGATTTATACAACCACGATATCAGAAATTATATAAAGCACAAGCGTTGCTGTTAAATATAACCTGGTGAGATATCACTACAACTGGTGCTCTTTGTCGTTCAAGCTCAATAATTACAGGTTCAAGCCTGCATTAATGTGGAAAGTGAATTGTGTTTCACAAGTTAGACTATTAACATATTCTTTACAAACAAGTCAAATTTCAGTATGTTGAGAAACTCTAAACCTTTGAATAACGTCCAGGTAAGATTCTCCACGAGGATACCGATATCTCAGCTTGTCTTTCTTGCGAGATCTATCATAAAAATAAGACATAATTACCCAATAATGCAGTAAAGATAAAAGTAAAGCACAATCAAGAGGACAAATAAAATAAAATCAGTACATGCTTTTTTGATCCAACATAAGTTCTTCCATATAGGCTATAGCACCATTCAAAAGGCCAATGATAAGAAAAGCTTATTAACACCATTATATACAAGACTTACTCGTACTCTTCTAGCATATTCTTCTTTATTTCTTCATAAGTCATTCCATCACATACTCCAGCATTAATCTCATCAAGTGCACGCCATTGTATCTAATGAAAAGTGTGAATAATAATATCTCTGTTAGCATACCAATATATATATATATATATATATATATATTTAAAAATTTACTTCAGCTGCCAGAGTTGCTTGAGTGTGAACAAGGGACTAAATCAGTAACTTTCTTATGGTTTCACACTAACCTTGGGAAATCCAAGAATTGGACTTGCTGTCAGAATTGTCCTCTGCAGGGTGCTGGTCCATATCTAGATTACAACAAAATCACAAAAATTATGTATACTCAATTATAATGGTAATACATTTTCTGTTCACGCAGCTTGATGAAGCGTCAATGAATCTGCGCTTTTTTAAGTATTGAGGGCAACACTGAAAAAAATACAACACCCAAACAAACAGCAAAATCCATAACATCTATACAATTTCGTTTATTAAAAATGTAGATCTTTGAGATACACTTAATAATTGATCTACAGTTTGCAAGCATTTTCTTTTCTTGAACTCTAGAGCAATAATTTAGGAAGTGATGCTATCTCAAGCAAAAGAAATAACAGCCAATAGGCAGATAACTCTGCTACTTAAGTACATAAGCAGGCTTCTAAAAGTGAAGAAAGACCAGGACAAGTTGGGGGAAGCAGGGTAAGTTTGATGCCATTGAATTTTAAAGAAGTGATAAACTTGCCAGGGTATAAATGTAAACAATTAAAAATTTACCATGAGAAATTTTGGAACTTACAGAAGCAGCCCTTTCAGATTTCAGTCGCTTCTCAACAAAGTTCGCCAGTTTCTTTGCGTAAATTTCTCCAGTATCACTGTTGTAACAGGTAAGCGAAATTTTTTGGTAGGTTAAAACTGGAGTATGACAACAACTTATGTTGAGCCAACATTCACATTGAAATCAGAAAAACTAATATCAAAGATATGAGGATATCTCATGACAGGGAATCTAACCAAACATTAATTAACATAAGTAAATGTCTGATAAAAAATTATCATATAACAAAAGACAAACAAATATACAGAATGAAAATTGAAACGACCTATTATATAATGCCACCACAATCAGTAGAAAAGGCTACCTCAATACACTGTCACCACCAATTCTGCCTCTAACATTATGACGACTCTCTCCATGCCGCGTAAGTAATATTGGGCGAGGTGTTAGATGCGTATTAACCTGCAAATGATAATACGAAAGAAGTAAAAAATAAACATTTAATAAAAGGATTACTACTGAAAATGGTAAATGCTCAGAAAGCACCAAGGTTCAGATGTGTCCCTAGAGAAAACAGACACTTGTGACAGAGTAATCTTCAGAAAAGATATATGTACAAATAACAAAGGTCAACAGGTGTAGAATCTGAAAGCTACAAGTCTGAAGCTTCCTTCCATGTCTTGCAAAATAACCCAGATCAATACAATTCCACCAGGACTTGATAGACATAGGAAAGGACATAGGAAAGGAAAAAGAACACTTCAGATAGACATAGGAAAGAAACCCTTCCAAAGTTTTTAAAGCTCCAATTCATAAGAGCTCAAGTTCCTTCACCCAAAAAAGTTTGAATCCAATATAACAAACAGGAGGAACTGAGAGAAGGGGCTTAATAACTAGAGCTAATATTACTGATGCCTGATGACAAATTGAAGCACATTTCTTATTGTACAACATACCAAGAAAAAGACGATTCGTCCAGGAAGATAGCCACTGATGTTGTTAACCTGAATCAAGTTAAAACATATAAACTTAGATCATATTGTAAAGCAATCGGATTATCTTAGAAAATTCAAATAGAGAAGAGAAAACATAAAACAATAGAGACTTTCAGGAAAGAAGAAACAATAGTTATTCTAGAAAGGCTTTAAGAACAAAAATGCCATTCCTAATGGCAACCTTCTTTGTAAATTGGCAATGTGAACAAGAGAGGACCGAATACACAAACTGCTTTAAACTAAATTTACAACAAGACAGGGACTAAATACACCATTTTTATGCCCACAATAAACATTGATCCCACATGCATATGCGTGAAGCACAAAAGCCATATAAATGAAGAAGAAGAAGAAGAAGAAGAGTTAAACTTAACTTGTATTTGTCCACCATGCCCACTAACCATATCAATCATTTTGATGTAAGACCCTTCTTCAACCGGTTCATAAACCTAGCAACAATAAGCATAATTGTGCACCTTAGAATTATTTTGAGCATCCAAAAACATAAATCTTTACAAAGAACAACTAAAAAAAGCAATTTCAGGAACTACCTTTTCATAATTAGCTAATCTATTTCTAAAGTCCCGTAATCCCGCTTCAAAATCTGGCCTGAAAACCATACTGATAACTTAAGTACAGAAATTTTCTTCAGACCAAAACGCAAAAGGTTATTGAGAAAGGCCTTACTCTTCTGCATAGTCAGGGCTTTGCTGAATTTTAAGGCGAATGTTTCTTTCAATAATCCGTTCATCATTGCATATTGTTTCTAGAAAAATAATCTACCATCAAAAGCAAAGATAATTGTATTAGAATTCAAAACTAGATATATCATATTCTGGATAAATCTTCATATTGTCAGCTGATACCATCAGCCGATACATCACATTTTACATCTGTTAACATGCCTCCAATAAAACAGCATAGGAAAGGATCATGAGTCACACACAATAAAAGAATCCCCCAATCAGCCGGTGTATGTAGTGCTAACCAACCTAATGGCCATGCATTAATTCACTGTACCAAATATATGTGCCAAGCCACATAAATACATACATCAAGCTGGCCAAAAAAAAACATAAATACATCAAGGAGCATATTTCCCCAAGTAACATGAAAAAGTGATGAATCCTGTCCTTTTACATATTAGTTTTTTCTTTTCATCTGCAACAAATCATACACGCTTCACCCAACAACTATATCAGTTCTACTAGGGATACAGTTAGCTGGTTCCTTGTTCTGTAATCACAGTACCTTACATTTTCCTTCAGCCATTTTCATCAGCATATTCCGTCTACTCCTGCTACTGTTAGTTGCATCAAATATTCCAACCTACATTTAAAAGGGATTTAATAAATAAAATAAGTCAGCAGAACAGGGGAGAAAACAATTGTCACACATGAAAGAACTTACCTGGCCACCTTCTTGCATCCAAGCTGTCATATCATCCATTGCCAGGGCTGCAACCTAGTAGGATGTGATATATTAAAACTATGTCCAAAAATAAGGTTAATATGGGGTTACCATTAACCAATCATCCAAATAAAAACCAAAGTCATTAGTAACAGCATCTTTGACAATGGCAATTCCACACTTGAAGGGATGAAAACCCAGTATTGAATAGGTATGGAACTTAAATCATGTTTCCCGTAGTGATTTATATCCAGATATTGCTTTGGGTCATGCAATTACTTCAAAATCACCCATAATGTTCCTCTTCCTTGCGATTTTTATTCTTGTAGTATCTGCCTACATTTATTTCAATTTAGTAACTTCAAGATGAGTTAAGAGTTTTTATTAGATTCACATATAAAAGGAAAAAATGACTAAAATTGCTTATGAAAAAAAAAGCAAATCCCATATCTACAATCTTTTAAGGAACATTAATAATTGAAATTGAATTCTTTGACATTGACATACATACCATACCATCCAAAAATCAATTGCTCCCCAATTTAAAACCCAATCTGAAGGATTTCTAGCTACAGCAACACTAAGAAATTAAATATTCATTAAGTCCATATAAACCATTAATTAAACCACAGACATAAATGGCATCAATTTCAGCAGTTGAAACAAACCACTCAATTCTGAAAGTCAAATAAGACCAAGACTCTTCTGTGGACCCTCACCTCATTACGTGCCTCCATGCCTTCAGGATTGTCTGCTCGGAAAAAGTCAGCAGTCTGTATAAAAAAGTCCATCACTGATCAAAAATCATTCCAGAAACATACAAATAACTTGCACAATATTCCATTTTAATTATCAATTTATTAGATAAAGCCAATGACAGAAAATGAGTCTTTATCAAGTGCATTTGTTAAACTGCAAAGCAGACAGCACAAAATTTTACTGGTAGCAACACAGACAATGCTCCCAGTAGATTAACTTGAACAAAGGTGCTCAGATTTACCTGGTTTGTACCATGTTTGAGGCGCCTATACTGTTATGGACAGAAAAATCAAGTCATTCTTCTTTCATTTAAAACAAGACAGAGAGCACTTCTTTCATTTAAAACAAGACAGTGCAAAGAAAGCATTCAAAGTAAAGTGCAAGAACCTTGCCAACATTAAAATGCTTAGTATCATGTCCCAACCAGCGAAGATATCTTGTAAGTTTAACAGCAGTAAAGGTCTTTCCTCGAGCTGGCAAACCAACCTGACAGTCAAACAACTAATTGGAACCATCTATTCTTAACAGCTTAAATTGATTCTTCTTTCAACCAATTAGTTGAACACATGCTGAATGGAGATACCTTTGGAATATGAAGATTGTCAAAATTTTTAAGTCTAGATCTTACCAATTTGACAAATAATTTATAGTAAAGGAGGAGAAAGATGATAAAATCTAACATGCAGACCAATTACTTATGCAGATGAATACCAGGACAATTGCTAGATGTCTATCCTCCTTTGGTCCAAGCATCTGATCAGCTACAGCTGCAGCTGCAACAGCTCCAGCGGCTGCTGGCATCGAATTCTAAAAATCAAAGAAAAAGAAACAAAAATAAGAATAGCACTAGCAGAGAGAGCAAGCCATACTTTACTACAAAGAGGAAATACATTTCATCCAAACCTTGGTTTCAGAGTCCAATTTAAGATCAAAACTAAAAGTAGTTGCACTTGCAGATTTGACCAGCCTGGGAGATCCAACACCCCTATCCACAAAGAGTCCCCTGTGACTATCTTGCTTTTGCAAAGGTGAAAAGGTCCCTACAGATTTTGATTCAACCATCCCAGATCCTGAATATATCTTAGAAGGATCCGGTATGACAATCTCCATCTCCTATGAAAAAGTACATTGCATCATAAAAAAATAATGAAACAAGGTGACCTTTGAAATAATTTTATGGCCTAGTAAGTGTGCCATCTACAGTGCAATGTGAGCAGCAATTTGCTTCCTAATAAATCAATGACTTTACCTCCTATACTTGCCATTTAATTAAGATTCAGGTGCATTAAGGAATATGATTTTAAAAGTTAAGACAGAATGAAATACCAGAAAATTGTGTATTGGTATCCTTAAACTGATAACAAGTATGTAATCCTTTTCAAGGCCCATAACACAATCTAGTTTACACATTTGAACGATGAGTTACCAAGATAAACCTTAATGGTTGCAGGTCGATCAACAGAAACCCCAGTGATGACTAGTGACCGTGGATTTTCTGCCAAGTTGGCTGCATAAACCAGACCTGAGTTTGCGGAAATAGATGGAGCAGGCACAACATAATGCTCAAGGTCAAGCTCCAAACTAGCCGAGGAGCCATTCTACACAGTAAAACAAGAAACTTTTATGTCCAAGTACATTGTCAAGCATAATGATCAAGAAGCAAGGTAAAACTCCAATCTAGCTGAAGTGAAATTCAATGCAATAAACACATTATCTTTTATCTCGAAATTAGAATAACAACTATATTGGAAGCTTGGGACAATGATTCATAATAAATAAGTTACACAGGAGACAGTAGCATGTCTTAAAAATAAAAGATTAAAAAAGGGGAAGGGGGAATAGGTCATACCTCACGACCTGTCTCTGGCACTGCATTGATGCTAACATCAGGAATTCCACGAACGGTTGAAGGCCGGAGGTTGTCTTGATAAGCTCTCCAACTAGCCGCAAGATCAAAGGGCGAAACCTTGTCTGCCTTAATGAACACCCGATACTCAAGAACCTCCTCATTATCTAGCTTAAATAGTGCCAGCCTTGCATCCCCTTGTAAGGTACCCCCAGTGAGGAGCCGGTTAGGACCCTCCTCAACAATACAAGGCGTGTAGCCATATTTGGGCTTCAAGAGGAACTTAAAATCCAAAGTTTCTAAATTTAAACATGTAAAACACACAAATAAATATAAACTTCCACAAACCTCAAGTTGAATAAATCACTTGCCAATAAAATACTAAGATCCACTGTAGCTTATAGTTTTGAATCAAACAAAAAACAAAAGGAAAGTAAAAAAAAATTAGGAACCAAACAAAGCCTAAAAATTTTACATCAGAAAACGAAACCAAGCCTATAATAGTAGCATCCACCTTTGGAAACCCAACTCTGAAAAACGTACAGGAGGCATAGTACATTATACAGTATTCATTCAACAGTGCAAGGTTTTAGCCAACCTTAGCTTAAAAAGTTAAAGTGAAACTCTTCTGAAATTGTGAGTTAAGCTTGCTCTTATCCTCCCTAAAGCTCATATTCTATCAGTTTTCTCAGCAACCAAACGAAACATAACCAGAATGGAAAACAAAAAGAGTAGAAAAAGTAGATACTAACCGTGATTCGGAGGAACAACGAAGCTCAATTCCCACATTGAAGCAGATTCGCGCTCCATTGAAAGCTATTAACATTCAAAAACGAAATTACAAAAATAGCAAAAATATATATATCTAAAAAAATAATTCGAAATAAATAGATTAAAAAAGAGGGGGAATACAGCTTTAGAGGAATCCCAAGAGCCAACGAGAGGAACGGAGCCATAAACATGAGGAATAATGTCTCCTTTCTTCTTGTAATTCTCCATTTTCAAGGAAACGTAAAGTTGACCGCCGGCTTGGTCAAGGCTCTCCTCTCTTTCTTCCCCTCCATGCGACCCTCCCTCTGCGTTTCTCGATGCTCCCGCCCCCATTCAATCTTTCCCCTTCGCCTCTTTCTTTTTTCTCTAAAAAAAAAAAAAAAATTAAATAAATTGTTCTTGGTTGAGTTTAAATAGCGAAGGAATCATATTATTAGTTTTTTATTCTTCCCAGTCTGTTTGGATGGATAAGAAGATTGAAAGGTGTAAGACGAAAAAGGAAAAGAGACGAGAGGAAGTTTTTGTCCATGTTTCTAACTTTTTCGATTCCATGAGAGCCGCAGGTTCACTGTCCCCTTTTGGGCCGGGTTGGTTTGGCCCCCAAGAAATCTTTTTGTTTAGATACCCTTTGCTTTTATGTGATATCTTACTCTCGCTTTCTCTCCGTTTAACACGTGTCTAGATTATTGAAGAAAGGACAGGTGTCCACAATTAATGGCGTGTGTATATTGCTTCTTCATGGGAACAGGATTGCATATTTTTGGCAGTTGCATTGCCAGGGGTTATCGCGTCAGGCCCACTTGGATTCCATTGTCCCGATGGAATCTAGGGCTCTTTTTTTTTTTTGTAATCGTATCGTAGAGGCATCTAGTCGCAGACGCAGTGCAGTGGAATCCCGTTGTTCCTCTTATAAGACCTTAAGGCAATTAACTGTTTTTATTTAAGGCAGTTAATTATTTTAATATAAAAATTAAAATAAAAAAATATTTTTAATTATAACAAAAAATATTTATATTAAATTTTATTGTAATATATATTTTTATCATTAATTTTAAATTTTTAATCTCACCATTAAATACACAAGTGGCTGCTCGAGATATAAAGAGGTGGAGATTAAAAATCCCGTCAATCAACCGTTTTGTACCAATCATTATCGGCCACGTTATTCGTCAGTTCTTTTTTCTAATACAAAAATAAAAGTAATACATTAACCATAGTATTTGATTTTTTTCCTTGGTAGTATATTCTTGAGAACTAGTATCTAATAGTATTATACAGCATAGACTGCCTTAGATTAAAAATAAAATACAAAGACATTTTTGTAGCCGCTCACTCCAGCCTCTTCTGATTTTAGCCAATCTTTCATTTTTGTTGACTATGTTAAGAATTGCATTCCAAGTTGTAATCCTACCTTTACTGTGTACATTTTGCTTAGTTTCAACGGAGCTGCAATTTTCAGTTGGTTTGATCTGCTCAACTTGAAATCAAATTGTATTTATATTTGTAAACCATAAACCAGCTCTTAAATATATATTGAATAATGGCTATTAGTATTTTTTTTTTTTTTTTTGCAAGGCTAATTGACAAACCATAGCCATTTTAGCAAACCAGTGACCAGACATTTTCCATTTAAAACAGGCTATTGTCTATGATTACCAATATTGCTGATCTTCTTTAAACCTTCGAATGCTCGAATGGTCTGTGCATCAAAACCACCTGCAAACTGAATTCTTAAAGTGGTCGGTGAGGGCTTAGAAAGAAACTTTTACAAGAAAAAGGCGAAGTTTTTTGAAAGATCGAAGGGATACCTGGTGAACTCTGTATGCAAATCGAACTCCTTGAAGCAACAGATTGTTTTCTTGTGAGGATTCGTTGGATTGCAGTTCTTTGGCTGTTCTTTTCATGCATTCCCTGGCTAGCCACAATGAGCTAAATTTCATCTGCAAGCAGAATCATGGACCCGTTCAAGATGCAAAAAAGTACGCTTAAAATGATGAATTTCCTAATTTGGTATCGAGGACACATCATTAGCAAGGTTAATTTCATTAATTTGACAATCCCTTTAAATGCACTTCATAGTTGAATATAGATATGGACAATGGGAAGATGTTCCTTTTTCTTTAATTCAATTTACTGTGTTGAACTATCATATTATGACCTACCAACCTGACCGATTAGTCCTGTATCCAACATCCATTCCCATGGGATCTGGAAATCTCGGTATCTCTTGCTGGTGCTTTCCCTTATCCTTTCTATGTTGTTAACACTTTGCTCCAACCTGTAAATTTGATATTTCATCATGCAGTTAATTTATATTATTGATTGGAAATAGCAAGTTATAGTAATTCAGTTTATACATGCTCGCCTGTCTTGCAATGCTTGCATCCTTCGGAGCTCTGAATTAAAAGACTCTTTCGGATTCACCTCAAACGATGAGACTTCAGCTTCAAGGTTCTTTAGGTCTCGGTAGCCAAAAGCAGCTTCTCTCAGAGCATCTGCTTTTCTTTCTGGCCATTGTGGGAAATGCTTCAAAACTGCCCTTTCATCAACCAGGGAAGATAATTCCTGATCTAACCATTTTACAAATATCTCTACATCTGATATATCTTTAAAGGCTGCAGATTGAACCTCAGAGATTAAGAAATTTATAAACTCCTTTTGTTTTTCGACGTCGGATTTTATCTGTTCATTAATTAAATAGGCACACTGTTAGAAAAAAAAATGTTGGTTTCTGGAATCTGGATGATAAGTTATAAGTGTACTTACAGCTAAAACGTAAGTTGAGCGGTTCTCAATTTCTCCTATCATGTTCCTAGTAAATGCAAGTACAGGAGTTGCTGTAGCGTTGGTTTTGTTTTCCATGTTGGCATCTTTTCTGGTTAGTGAACGATAAAGCTCCGCAACTTCTGGTACACGGCGCACTGATCTAAAGCTAGCTAACAATTTTGATGGCAATGGTGGGGGTGGGGGTGCTGGTACTGATGGCGCTTTAACTTTGATATCGCTCACTTCCTTTGGAGAAGGGGAAACAAGAGAATTAGACCTTGGTGGTGGTTTGGGTACTTTTGATTGCCAATCTTTTCTCACGGCTGATTCCTGGAAACTTGGCCTTTGATATACATTTTCTGCTACAAAACTCTGTTCCGGAACTTTTATGAAATCTGATGTTTTCTGTAGAGATGCGTCCGTATTGCAATTGTCGATGGAGTTATGCAACTTCTTCCAAAGCATAGATTTTCTCTCATTATCATGAGCCTTAAGGGAACCGATCTGTGCTTTTAGACGAGCTACCTCCTGTTTTAGTTCCTGATTTTCTTTCTCCAGCGAATCATTTCTAGCCAGGGAAGCCTCGACTTCTTTCTTGAGGCGGGTGATTTGACGGAGCTCTGATTCATCATCTTCAAGTGGCATTTTCCGCTCTTTTTCCGCTTTCATCAAAACGATGCTAAGAACTTTCAACAAAAAAAAAAAAAAAAGAAACGATGATAAGAAGAGCTTGAGCATATTGATTTTCTGAATCTCTCTTTTTATTCATGATCTTTATTGTTCATGCTCTTTACTTTTGAAGCAAGGCATGCTTACCTAAGCCTGAGGAGTGATGCTTTTCAAAATGCCCATTACAGTGCTGGTATTTGCAGTTTTGAAGCAAGCAAAGGGCAGTATTCTAGCCAGGGTTGTTTTTGACATTTTGTAATTTCATTTCGTCGGATATGGGCATTTATTATATATGGAGTCGACTGTGGCTGAGAGATTTTCTTGAGTTTGCCGGCACTTAAGTGACTACTGCATTGTAGCTCTCCTTGGCCATGTTAGGTGCACCATTAAATTCTAGTCAAATTGACCATAAGACTCCTGCTGTTTCATTAATTATTATTACCGCAGATTATATTGCAACAGTTGATCGAATCCTAGTAGGAATTCCAAGATTTTTCAGCATAGTTTATAAGGTAAGCAGATTTTTAAGCGAAGCAGATTTTAAGTGAACAGCTTGTTCTCTTGATCTTCTGAAGTATGCCCCAAAACTAGGAGTTGAGACATGATCGTTTGCAAGTTGCCAACTGCCTTTTGTGGCACTTTCCCTTCCAACCCTCTGCCATCAAAGTGTTAGCCTCCGACTGTAATGTTTGAATCATAAGATCAATCTGTGATGCCCCTATATGCTACATCTCTATACACTGTTGTAGAGTTCCTTGGTAAACTGAATTGCATTTGCTGGAGTTTGCTTGTGCGTCAAGGGTAATTAAAATAAAAAAAAAAGAAGGGTGAATGAAGGACGGTGAAGGATGCTGACAGTGCAAAATTAAAGAAAAAGAAAAAGAGAAAGTATTGATTATTACAGCTTACCAGAATCAGATCTCTGGTTTTACTTTATTTCTCTCTTCTTTTGTCTTTTACATATTTATAATTTTTTTCCTTTACTTAAATATACACATACACATGCCTCTATTTTGCTTTAGAAAAAGTTGAGGGCTATCAGGATTTATTCTTAGAGATGAGAGCTTTCTTTGGTTTGACTAGGTATTCTGAGACATGCTTAATTTAAGGTTCTTCTTGTTACATCAGTACGGGACGGCGATTTGATTTCATTGTATTTAATTACCAATAAAATGGCTAAGTATTCAGGTGGAGAATGAGGAAAATGTGAAATGGCGAAGTTTTGTTTTCGGGGGTGGTTGGATCAGAATGTTAGAATCACACGATATTATAATTTCATCAAAGAATATAAGAGTCAATTAGGCTCTCAGGTGCTCCTAATGATCTTTTTATTCTTCCATAAGCCTTTTAAGGACTAGAAGTTTGCTGCAGAACTTGGGGATTAATCTATCAGAGATTAGATTCGTACTCATTCTCAAGATAGAAAGAAAAAAACACCCTGTAGGCTCTAGCTGGCACAAGACCTCAAAGGGGTCTACTTCAAAGATATATAACAGTTCAGCTTAATTTACTTTCGGGGAGGCCCCAAATTTTCACAGGGTCCATGCTTCCATGGCCACCTTTAGCTCATAAGTGAATTCCCTGGTAGCCAGGGAACTTGCTGAACTTTCCGGGAGGGAAGAAAATGAAGAAACAGGAGTGGCATATGCCCGGAGACAAAGGGAATATGAGACTTAGGACTATTCATCATTTGGTATTCATTGAGACAGTTTGGTACATGCAACCATAGGATTATGGAATCCCAAACATGAATAACTCTGTGTATAACCAAGCGTAGACCATGAACCAATCAGAATATAGAATCCATATGAAATTTAATATGAACAGACTAGAACACCTTAGCTGGCTAAGACAGCATGGCTTAACGGAACTGGGAAGAATTTATCTACTACTAATGATAATATATAACAAAGCTGATGGAATATTAGAAGAAAACTCAGGAAGAAGATTCTAAAGCCCTTTTCTTTTGGATATATATGCAAAAATGTGAATATTTTTATGATCTTATCAAGATACTTTTATATGAATCAAGTTGCCAAGACTAGTTAAAAGTGTCAACAATGAATATTACATGTGTACACTGTTGTTACTCACATACTCCTATTTTCTGAAATTTAGTACTTGCCACTCAGTAGAGTACTTGCATTACACCCCTAAA